GTTGTTGGAGCACCGTCCCACATATTGGCGGCCCACTGTAGTCGTGTTCCTCGACATCAAAGGTGCCTTCGATTCGATTGATTCATGTGCGCTTTGGAAGTGTCTACTAAGGAAAGGTGTGCCCGAGAAATATGTAAATATTATCCGAGCATTATGCGCGCGTAGCATGGGCAGAGTGAGGACTTACGGCAAACTGTCGCCGCCCTTCAGCATCTCCAGCGATGTGAGACAAAGATGCCGGCTGTCACCTTTCCTCTTCAACCTCGCTATTGTCGAAGTCATGGAGATTGCATTTACAGGACACGGCTTAGAAGGTGTGAAGCTATTCCCAGGAGAACGACTTCTTGACTTGGAGTATGCAGACGATATTGCCCTCATCTGTGGCAGATGCCAGACGTGCCAAGCGGCACTGGACAGATTAGCACTGGCTGTCAGCCGCTTCGGGCTTTGCTTTGCACCATTGAAGTGCAAAGCTTTCCTCCAAGATTGGCAGGGATCACCTCCTACGCTTACCCTTGGTGAGGATCTGATAGAAGTCGTTCGGCAATTCAACTACCTGGGATTGAAGATGAGATCACGAACCGTGTATCAAACCTCGAAGTGGTTTTGCTAACCTTCGCCACCTATGGCGGCGGTGCGACATCACTCCCGCCCTGAAGGGTAGAGTGTACAATGCAGCGGTCAGTTCCACCTTACCGTAATGTTGCGAAACCTGGTCCCTAAGATCAGCGGACCTGAAGTGGCTAGTTACGTTCGACCATCGGTGCCTTCGCAATTTGGCTCACCTCTGATGGGAGCACCGCGGGAGTAACGTGCGTGTTCGACGCCTTGTTTACTGCCCAGGAAAAGGGAATGAACCGCTCAGCACCGTTATTTCATGCAGCAGGCCCCGATGGCTGGGCCAGGTGTTGCGCATGCCAACCCACCGACTTCCGCGACGTGCGTTGTTTGCTCACCGGAGATGTGGATGGAAGAAAAGGAGGGGTGGCAAAGCGATGACTTGGTCCAGAGGAATGAAGGCCCTCAGTTCTGAGTTGGCCTCTGTTGGAGCTTCACGGCTCCCTGGTTGAGGTCCAAAAGACGATGAACACGTTTAGCTAGTTACACTTGCTGACATGGCTGGAAGCCGACCTCAGTGGCATTCCTGCTGTGAGTTTCTTTGTCCCTCCTCATCCCTTTTAGCCTTCCCCTCCAACCACGATCTCATTTCGTAGCGTAATATACTTTTACATAATAATTTTTTTTTAGCCTAGTAGCTGGCTGGTCGCTTCCTGGAACGATGCCCATCGGTTGCAGGTAGCTCAGCTGGCATACAACTGATATATTTATTTTCATTTTCTTTTATGTACTGCGGCACAGTAGCTGAGGTGTTTGCCACCTCTAGCTAACGTGTATAATGATGATACTGACATACAATTTCTTCCGAGCCTGCTTATATGTACCAGACTGAACACAACTTGCTTTCACTGGTCTTTCTCATTTGTTAATAATTGTTATTTGATGACCTCGGTCTGTATGAACCTATCCTGCCCTCAGTCGCTGTGACACTCGCCAAAGTTTGTGGTGTTCACTAGCTTTTCTGGCTACCTATCTGTAAATGGTGGAAAAGGAACCATTTTCAGATGTCGATGTCAACATCAATACCGTTATTATGCAAATGCTAATCTGATCTGCTTCTATTGACTTTGATATACTTTACTATTGACGATGGTTGATACCTTCCAACCTGTAACATGTTACAATTGACACGCGGAATCCACAGAGTACGTGCGTAAGCTGACTCAAGGTTAACCTGTACTTTTATCCTAACCTAAGCGGTCACTGACATGCACTTCATTTAAATGTTAACGCACAACGATCATCAGCTTCGTCGGGTCAAATGTACTCGACACGCAGAAGTGCAGCCTACGTTGTCGTCGTTGCTGACGGAGTGCGCAAATGCGGTGGCTCACGCTTTTCTTGAAGACTCAGCGATTGGACTCGCGTCTTTCGCCTCCTGACAAATCAGCTTAATCCTAACGATTTGTAGTATTGATCGTTACTACTTTGGGATGACGCCTTAGCGCACGGTTAATTTTCTACAGATAACTACGGTTTCTGGCATCAGATCACACCACTGCCATCCATCGATACTTCACTGACGTGCAACCGGTGGTGATTGTACGTGGAATCTGGTATTGCGGAGGTTCCCAAATCATTTTGGAAACGGGGACTCTAACCATAAACTTAGAGTTTGCAATCCCAACGCCCAAACCAACAATCCACTAACTCTTGTCTCTAAATGTAGAATCCTTATCCAGCCGTCACTTCTTAAATGACCTGTTGGCCTTTGTAAACCACTGTACCTGAGGGAATGACGATGGTCACAGCGTTGTTCCACCAATACATTGATACGCACACCCCAGTTGCACGTCCACATCCTCCGACAACCTGGCTTTCAGCATTCTCACCTATGCATTGATAACTCGGTACTAAATTGACCTTACCCGTTCAAACGCGTGTGTTGATACTTGAGAAGCAACCCTAGTTATTCAAGCCACTCTTCAACTTCTTAGTTGATTGCTTCGTGTGTCCTCGAGGTGTTTTACTACCTAATCGGAGTTGCTCGTTCGCCCTATCAAGGAGTTACACTGAACCCATGCAAATGCTGGATGGATTCTGAGGCATTTCCCTCTCTATGTGGATCCATAGGTGATCATTATATCATATCTTCTCATTGAATCTAAACTTTTTTACTTCTCAACAAACTGTAAGCATCTGGTTCCAAACATCAGTACAATCCATGCTTCTTACTATTGTTTAAATTCGTAGATAATACTGAATATCGAACGGACGGGGATTTTATGCCGCTTACAAAGCGCGTGCAGTGCAAATCTCGTTAGGTAGCCCGGCCGAAGTTTTGTTAACCGTTACGATAGAAACAGTTTTTACTATTTCGGATCAAAATCGAATTTTCCTTTTTTACATGTTTGGGATACAACAGCGTCACTCTCCACATTGTTTAACGGCACAAGTAGGTGGCGGCTAGTGAAGCAATTTTTGTCCCGGAAGTGGAACGGTCAACTGATGTTAAATAGCAATGTGCGGGCGACTGTGTGCGTCATCCGAGTATCTTTTAAATTTGACTAGCGCCGGTGCGGAGCCCACCGATTCGGTGACTACTTTCAAGGAATTTTCATAACAATCCAAACGACCATCTTACCCCGCCAGTAACGGAAGGTCGTCTTCTGGTTAGTGTTACTAATGAGTTGCAGTAAAAAGTAGCACCCATGGTTTGCATTATGCAGCGCAGCGAAGATACGCAAGGCGGGTAATCCCTTACGATCAATGATGTGCATGAACAACAACCCAAACCACAATGTTGCTCGTTGGTTGTTAGAACCAGTCCGTAAGCTCCTGGCAACACACTGTTTAAAAAACCCATTCGAATTAATCGAGGCATTGGACCATACGTTGCTAAACACAGAGCACATGTACTCGATAGATGTGGACTCGCTTTTAAGGAACGTGCTTCTGCGTGAAACAGTCGAAGGATTATGCAACTTTCTCTTGAGCCAGAACCTATCTGTGGGACACCCTCCTGAGTACCTGAGCGATCTGATATTAATTTGCACAGAGAATGTTCGATTTGCGTTTGAGGGAACTGCGTACAAGCAGATCGACGATGTTGCAATGGGAAGCCCTCTGGGCCCGGTTTTGGCGGACATATTCCTTGGGCTGATTGAACGCAAAATCGCTAACATCATTGATGAAGCAAAGCTGTATAAACGGTATGTAGGTGATATCCTAATCTTCACCAGTGAGGATCACTTTCGCCGAATGGTTTCCATTTTGAATTCGATTCACCCCAATCTCTGTATCGTATGAGATGAAACAGTGAGACAACCTACCGTTTCTGGACATCCACATCAAAAGAGCAACGCATTGTTTATCGCAAAGCGATATGGAGCGGGCAATACCTGCATTTTACCAGCTTCGCCCCGATTGAATACAAGCGAGGTCTTGTTAAAACCCTGTTCTACAGAGCCAGGCGCATTTGCTGCCCATAGATGCTAAAGACTGAAGAGGAATTCCTACTCAGAACTCTAATGTCTAACGGGTATCCGGAGAAGTTTATCCAACTCCATAGCAGACTAGCCAATGAGAAGTTATCAGTGCAAACGACTGAGAAGAAAGCTGTTTATTTGTTTTTACCCTTCAATAGGGACCACGTGTCAAACGACATTGGTCACTAGCTCAGCTCTGTTCTCATGCGCACTTACACCAGCGCGCAGTTACGCATCATGCATACCACACGAAGGCTTGCTCTCAACTACCACCCGAGCTGCTTGCCAGTCGGTTGGGTCTCTCATGTTATGTACCACTTTACCTGCAGTTGCGGTGACGTATACATGGGCAGGACCGACCGGCGATTAGCTCAAGGTGTAGCTGAGCACTTCCCGCAGTGGTTAAAACAGTCCACAAGAAGGGATGGATCAAACGAAGAACCGGAACCTTGGCTCGTCTATCACAAAGTATCTCTTGACGACTGGTCATCACGTGAACCGATCAAAAGCATTCAAAGTGCTATTGATTAACCGCAACTCGAAGAAGCTGGCGAGCAGCGAAGTGCTGCTGATTGCGGTGAACCAGCTGACGTTGTGCACACAAAAGGAACTGAGACAATCTACCAGATTGCCGTGGTCATGCTGTTTCAGTTCAATGTTACCCATGTGATTTCATTCCACTTGTAAATACGCTGTTCTAAGTGTTCCAGCCTTCATTCGGATGAGAGATTGCTCCATGTTGGTCTTGCTCCTGTCCTCTGAGATTGTGTTTTACTCCTAGCTGTGCTACTTGAGTTGCGTATTAGACGCGGGACAATGGTAAATGCCGAGCACTTGACGCAAACTAGTGCTGGTGTTACCCAGCAGCAATGGTTGTTTCGTATAGCATGCTCATCATTCTTTTCGAAATCCGTTTCATCTCTCAACTATTTTTGCCTTTTGCTTACTCTGCAGCTTGCCGCATCACTGAAAAAGCTATCATCCGTGACATTTGTTCCTTTTGAAACTGTCCGACATCTTGGACACAATTTCATTCACACCGCACCAGAAATGCCGAACATTATTCGGTGAGTTTTATGGCTATTTTCTATATATTCGCTCTTCGCATCTAATCCCACTTCCTCTGTTACATTCATGTGTTACGTGTGCATCAGAGCATCTATTTCTATCCTGGCAACTAGCATTCCTATCGTTCAGCGTCGCCTATGTTGTGCAGACAACTACAGTAAAGTGCTTAAGATCAGTATTACCTGTTCCAGCTGCATTAAATCGTACTGCCCGCAATGTGCAGGCAAATCTGTCCAAGAAGTGAGACAGACAAACCAAGTTGCTGACACAATTTGGTTTTGCCCATCATGTCAAGTGATTCCAGTTGTCAACTGTTTATCATTGCTAATGAAAAAATGCGATAGGATGACTGAAATAATCGCACAATTTGTAAATACTAAGGTCGCTCCCTCGGAGGTAAATATGGCCACGATAATACCTCACCCGGTCAAAGTTAGTTCTGCGTCTAAACCGAAGAAAAGAGCTAGACTATCCAACCGCACTGCAGCCTCTGTGACTCTAAACCCACTGGGTCACCTCACTCCCATCAGTGGGCAAGCCTCAAACATGCCTGCGTCCACTTCTCCAACCATAGACGCTTCACTTGGAGATTCAGCCATGACACCGATAGCTCACAGCCGAAGGAAATCCGGTGCAGATAACAAGCAGGTAACGTACGCATCGATTGCATCGACAAACACACCGGGAGCGACACACACAAGTTCATCTTCAGTACCGAGCACGCGTGGCCCAAAGCAGCTTTCACTGTCAACTCCAGTGGTGCCCTCTAAACAACCTGAATTGCCGGCAAAAAGTATAAAGCCAACACTTGCTAGACCAAACCACGCTGCGCTAACTCTCGTGTGCACCATTGTTCCCGAATCCAAATCTGGCACAATAAAAGGCAAGTTGCAAGACGATCGCAACCAGTGGAGTTCCATCTGCGAGGCGATTGGTATTCGGGTTGAGCCTGCAATGCTGCCACGCGTAGCACGTCACCCGACTTCAGTGCACTCTGGTGAACCTCGAATTCTTCGAGTAACTCTAAACTCAGCAGATGAGACCGAGGCTGTCCTGCTCTCAGTAGCTCGTCTTCGCAACTCACCGAGCGGAGTGCGCATATTACCTGATCTATCTTGGAAAGACCGCGCAAAAGAAGCAGTGGAGCAACGCGGTATTGCTACTAGGGATAGCAAGAAAACAATATTTGTTCATGGTGTTCCCGAGCTTCTGCATTCTTTTGATCACAATGCGCAAACACATGTTCGAGAGCAGTGGTGCTACATCCGTGAAGCACTCTGTGTTAACAATGTTATTGCCAAATCCCTAACAAGAGTTCCGTTGTCACCTAACTACAAGGGCTGCGGTCCAAGGCTAATGAAGGTAATACTACACTCTGAGGGAATGACGCAAGTTCTGTTGGATAGCTGGTTAAAGTTTCGAGCTAGGTTGCCAACAGAAATACGGCTAAAGGCAGCAGGCGAACGACCAAAAGTCGGAAGAAATTCGATGGAACTTGCAAACCCTGCAAATTCTTTATTTGTACAGTCCTTCGGAGAGATCGACACAACAGCGCCCACGTCACACAGGAGGACCGAGCACAGCACGAGTGAACCAGCAGTTCAGGAACGCTCAATAATGTCATGTAACACGACTGAAATACATAAACCAAAAAACGATTAATTGCCGGCCACCTAACGGCCGGCTTAAAAGCGAACACAAACTTGACATCCACCAATGAACTCCTAACCACAAAAGCCCTATCTTGCATGTACACAAACGCTCAAGGCCTTCGAAGCAAGTTGGCCGAACTTAGAGAACTCCATGCCTCACAACCGCGGGACCTCGTCATGATTACAGAGACATGGTTAAACCCTGAGATAACCGACTGTGAGATCAAGTTACCCGGTATGTCGTTGCTTCGGACCGATAGAACCGGAATGGGTGGCGGTGTGATTCTTTACTATAATACAAGCCTCCGATGTGAAGTTATCGATCACCCGGAAATCCGAGCTCCCGATTCGCTTTGGTGCCGCCTTTGGTTGCGAAACAAGGACACATGTCTACTAGCCGTGGTTTATCGCCCGCCAAACTCAACGTCGGAAATGGACTCCAAACTGTACCACGTTTTTCAGTTTGCTTTGAACAAGTCCTACACCCACATTCTTATCGCGGGAGACTTTAACGTGCACGACATAGAAACGCCGGCAACTGACGGTACGCAGTTTAAAGCCTGTTTGCAAGAACTTATTGCTAGCCACCCTCTTTACAACCACGTAACCTCTCCCACCAGATTTCGAACTTCTAACAAGCCGTCGATACTAGATCTTGTGCTAACTAACGAAGAACTCATGGTTGGCGGGATAGTTACAAGCACACCACTGGGTCGTAGGGATCATGTCACTCTACTCTTTGATTATATATGCTATGCGGAGTACCCTGAAAAGGAGGAGGATAAAGTGCACACTGTCACGCACTACAATGTGTTGTCCAAGCTTGTTAAAGATACATCTTGGACTTTCTTATTCGAATGCCCCCCAGATTTGGCCTGGGATATGTTTACAAGGACTTTGAGCACACTGGTAGCGCAAGCATCGGAACAGAAGTCCTTCCAACCCAAAAACCAGAGTAAGTCATTTCTGAGGAGCAGAACACGTAAATGTATGTCCCGGAGAGATTTGGCATGGCGAAATCACCAGGGTTGCCCGAATGCCGAAACCTGGACTGCATACGTGACACATCGTAACTTCTGTGTGAAACTGATCCGCGAAGACAAGGTCACGCATCAGCAGAAGTTAATGATGCGATTCTGCACTAACCACAAACTCCTGTATAGGCACATTAACGGCCTTCGAAAGGTAAAGCGAGGGGTTCCGGCGCTAGTCACGGCTGATGGATACACGCGGTCAGCAATGGAAGCAGCTGATCTCCTACGGCTTCATTACTCTCAAACGTTCCAACAAGTGTCGAGCCCAAACATTCACCTCATTTCTAATACTCCACCATCTGGTTTAGAAAACATCACCTTCACTACGGAGGCTGTGTTGAAGAAGTTGTTATCCTTGCGTATCCACAGTTCTCCCGGAGCTGATAACATCCGACCAAAGGCTCTACAGGCAGTAGCTAGTGATCTAGCAGAACCACTGGCTGTTTTCTTTCAGCGATGTCTAGAGGAAAACCTTATTCCACCAGTATGGAAGCAAGGGGTCATCACTCCTATCCATAAAGGAGGTAGCCGCACTGATCCTGCAAACTACCGTCCAATAACACTACTTCCCGTACTATCCAAAGTGATGGATTCAATCGTCGCAGACACGCTGATGCAATATTTGGAAAGCCACAATTTAATAGCCCCAGAGCAACACGGCTTTCGTCAAAAGCATTCGTGTAATACTAACCTATTAATTGCACGTAATAGCTGGACTGAAGCTGTTGATGATGGAGTTGGATTCGATGTCATCTACCTGGACTTTTCAAAAGCGTTTGATCGTTTAGACCATCGAGTTCTCCTTCAGAAGCTTCGGAACTACGGCATTGGCGATCCAATCCTGAGTTGGATTAGCAATTTTCTACAAGAACGACGGCTAGTGGTGAGAGTCTGCGAATCATTTTCTCATGCAATCGACGTGACGTGTGGAGTACCACAAGGCTCGGTTCTTGGACCTCCTCTATTCTTGGTGTTCATTAACGATTTGGCGAGATCAGTTACTTCCGATTTCTTATTTTTCGCTGATGATATCAAGATATGGCGAAGGATCAGAGGACCGGATGACCATGAACGGCTCCAGCACGATCTTAACACAGTGTCGAACTGGTCAGTTCAAAACGCTCTACCGTTCAACGTAGACAAATGTCGCGTAGTACAATTACGCCATAGACATAACTACACCTACATACTTGGGACAACCGAAATGCAGAATAGCTCCCAGGAACGTGATCTTGGTGTGATCGTACAGAGCGATCTCAACTGTTCAAAACGGGCTGAAGTAACTGCCAAGAGAGACAACCAGCACGTCGGCATGCTGCGAAGGGCATTCGGGAGATTTGACCCATCAATCTTCCGAATAATGCTCAATTCCTACGTGCGCCCGCAAGTTGAGTACGCAATCCAAGCTTGGCAACCTTGGTTGAAACGCGACCTAGAAGCGATAGAGGCACCACAACGGAGAGCAACAAAGAACGTGATGGGCCTGCGGTATCACTCTTACCACCGAAGGCTGAAGTTGCTGGGAATTGTCAGCGGACGTTATCGAAGACTGCGCGGCGATCTCATATTAGCGTATCAGATATTGAGTGACCCCAACCACGTATGCCGCCATTTGCTGAAACTTAGCCACAACACGCAGCTCAGGGGTAACTGCTTAAAGTTGAAGGAACAATATAGCCGTCTAGAGTGTCGACGGAATTACTTTTCCCTTCGAGTTTGCAAACCATGGAACGCACTCTCAGACTCAGTACTATCCTCTCCTACCCTGGATGTTTTCAAAAAACGATTAGATGTTGCTCTCAGCTCCCAACATTTTGTTACCTAAACTCCTCTGTTGTGGATTACGCTAAGCATGTTTTCAACAGGACTAATGTATCAAATGGACCTAAGTGAGCGACCATATTTTATTTTCTCACTCCTTGCCTCAACTATCACTGCGCCCCAGTGTCTTTCTGAATGTTTACGCGCGATATTTCTTTTTCATTTCACACTGATGTTAATTATCAAAGTATTCATCTCGGCAGACGTTCGATAGATGACCCACATATATTTTAATTGCATCATATTCACCGCTACCATCCTACGGGACGTGTCGAGCACTTGCTTTTATCTCGTGATAAATCATTGTTCATTGTTCATTGACAGCGCGGGCTCGAGCCTGTGTAGGGGCACGTCGACCATCGCAGTATCCTTAGCCCATTTTCGACTGGTGATGGTTGCGTGACAGCGGAGTGTCGGTACTGCGTACCAGCGTACTACTGACGCATTTTCTTGTTTTGCTTGTTCTCCGTTTTATTGCATATATTCTTTCTGTATTTGAGTTTTCGAACCGAGGCATCGGTGTCCGCTACACTTTGACATCCGGGTCGAATATAGCCGACAGAACTGAACCTTTGCACCACAGCATTTTTCACAATTCTTATGGATTGCAGTTAACATGAATGTTCGTTCCACTGAGGATATATTCGAACACAATAGCACCTTTCTTTGGCTCCGTTGTACTACATTGACCGATTGTGCCTTCATCGGAAATTGTAACTGTCATCCCGACGTTTAAACGAGTCATAATTATTCATCCTCTCTACTTCTGTGCATACCGATCTTCGTAAAACACTAACTATAACGTGCGCGGTTTTTTGTATCTTCAGCATCAAAATTTAGAGAGTGGCACCATCGTTGCTAACGTTTACTTTATGTGAATATTCTCGATATGTCTTTTCAACTTGCACACTCTCCTTCCCCTTCTTCGTAGACGTTTTGTCCAAGAATCAATCACTGGTGTTTCTAACAACTGACGCTCCGATGCCCAATTCCGTGACTGTGATAACTCAGTGACACCAAATAAGATCATCGTCAACCTCTTCGTTGGACTATTTGTGATACGTTCTCTCTAACATCCCCTGTGCTATTTCATATCAACCGGATAGCAACTTGGGAACAAATGATCTTTTAATTTTTTACTCATTGTGTTACTGAATACATCATTTCGTCCACATTTTGTGTCCTATTGTCTGGATTCCTCTTCTCACAGGTACCTTGACATGCATATTGCCCACGGACTATAGCTACAGCTTTTGCTGCATCTCTTATGACTTCGACTGTATGTATGTCCTTCTCGTCCTTATAGCTGTTCTTCAAGCGGTGTTCCTCAGAATTACATCAATTCCATGGTGACTATCAAGCTACCAATGCAAGCTAGTCTTCATTTTGGTCACTTATGTGAATTCCGTGTTCCCCAGCTGTGGCCCTCGAAGTTGACAACCTCGTTTTGGCAGCTCTGTTATCAACCATCACGGTGATTCCAATTGCGTTGCACCATCGTTATTCCGCCACACCTCTTCACAATTCTTCATTGTAGCCCATATTGCAAATCATCTACTCGTCCTGGTTTGCATCACGGTCTCTAATTGCGTCAGGGCTGACTTGCCGAACAACTCGTGGTGCCAGCTGGGTGATTCGGGTTTATACCGTTCCAGCAAATAGTTCGGCGCCAGTGTTCCAGGGCGTGGTAGGTTTTCGCCGTGCAAGCGTTCTGCCTATAAAAAACCACATATGTCCGTTTAGCATCCCTGCGACGTGGCGGATGTGACTCGTCACTAAATAAAGTCACTACCCCTGGCTTCACTCCGGTAGATCAATGTATTCAGCAACGCGAAGCTCTAATTGTGTTGATGATTGGGCTCCTGTTTGTTAGCCGAACAAACGAAAAGCGTATGAACTGAGCAATCAGTCACTGGTTCCCAATGGGCGCGATTTCTTGAACTCGCCTCGCTGCCTTGCGGGTAGGCTATTTCTCCAAAGGCTCGAGGTGGTGTCCCCTAAGTTAACTCCCTACTTCGGCTTAGGCAACCGGGTAGTATCTCGCCCGCTGACGAAACCATGGATTTCTCTGTGTTGTGTTCGCTTTTCTTTTAATGATTTCCATGGTTTTTGATGGTTCTTCACCTATTCGTAGACTGCTACGAATATATATATATATATATATATATATATATATATATATATATATATATATATATATATATATATATATATATATATATATATATATATATATATATGCGTCAGTCGAGTGCGCGTTAATATCAACTGGTATTGTGGAAAAGGCGACGTGGTGCGAACGAGTTGTGTATCGGAGAAGAAACGTATACATGGTATAACATTTCCATCACAGAACGATTGGTCTCATTTGCGCACTTCATTCCTGGTGCCATTTGATTTCACGCTGTTCCTTGTGCTATCGACTCAGCTTGCCGTGACGGTAAGGTATAGATTCAACGCTCCAGCGCCATCTGTTTTCATGGCTGATTGAATTGTGCGCTGCGCACCCGTTGTCCGCAGTGATACACCATTCGCTGAGTTCATCGCGCCTGCTCATTTCAATATCCTCCGGTCGGTTATTTTTGGATGTGTTGACAAGATCACTTTGTGTTAACTTTCTGCGTTCATTGGAAGTATTTCGTGGAAATTGAGCTACAATTCAGTTTCATTTCCGATTCTGAAATTTCCGACCAGAAATACGTGTGTTTTCATCGCTTGGTTTCGGCGATCTTGCTATCGCCACTTTCTTCGTCAATTGGCCGCCATCTTGTTTTCGGATTATTCGCAATGCCGAAGCAGTCATCCTGTGGTACTTGCTCCAAACTAGTCGGATACCGTGCAAATGCCCTTACGTGTGCATTTTGCCAAGTTAAATACCATATTTCATGTGTTGGATTATCAGTTGAGCATTTTCATCGTCTTCGCGAGATCCAACACGATTTCGTCCAAACTATATGTGAAAATTGCCGAAATCAGATACAGCCAGAAAGAGTAAAGCCGACGTGTAGTCCTCAGCGTTTCGTTGCGAACAGCTCCGTGTGTTTGGCCCAACAACCTAGAGCGAAGAGCCTTCCGATTTCGGCTCAGTCGTCCTCCTCTACCCGTGCAAACTCACTGACACCAAGTCCAACCGTTGTGAGAAGCCCAGTTGCACCTGGGCTAAATTGTTTACCTTTGTTGTGTCCACCGGACACTGATGTCCCAGCAGGTGAAAGTCTGAGTGCTGAAGACCAGTGGAAAGATCAGAGGACGAAATTACGAAGGAACGTTGGGCGTTTACGTTCTGTAAGTCAACGGTTAGCCAAACCACTTGAGGCTGGTAGTATACTTCGCCCTGCAAGGCCAACGTCGTCCGACCAGAGGCGTTATAATCTCGTGATCTTTCACGCACCGGAGTCCAGTGATCCATCACCCCAAGTGCGCTACGATCACGATGTCGAGTTTTTACAGGGTCTAATTGATAGACTCCTCGACGCTGGTGAGGACTCGGTAAAAGTGAGGCAGATTACCCGTCTTGGAAAGCAAGGTGATCAACAAAATCGGCCTATGAGAATCACTTTTGTGGACGAAGCCAGTCCAAGACTGATCATGTCTCGCCTAAGTAGGCTGAAGGGTTTGAAGATCCATGTTCATCCCGACCTGGACCCAATAGACAGGGAGCGGCTCAAGTCTGCCATCATTGAGTTGAAAAGACGCACTGGTGAGGGGGAAACAAATCTTCGTATCGTAAATTTTCGGGTTGTTTCCAACAATCCGCGAATCAGGATAAACAGGCTGCTCACACTTCAAGCACGCCCGGTGGCTCCTGCTGCGGCCTGCGATTAGCGTTCACAAACGTTTGCAGTATTATGAATAAGCGCGATGAGCTTTGTTGTTTCGTTGCGTCTGAGCGGCCAGACGTAGTGGGACTCGCAGAGACATGGCTGCATGCAGAGTTATACACCCAAGAACTTGAACTCAACGGTTACTCGTGTTTCCGATGCGATAGACTAAAAAATGCCCACGGTGGTGTCTTACTTTACATCCGGTCTTCCCTGCGTGGGAGACTTGTGAGCACCTACCGAAGTGACGATGGCCTGTGTGAGCTACTGTGGTGCTCCATCCGCCTCAGGCGCGGAGAACTGCTTGTGGGCGCAGTTTATCGCAGTCCCCTGAGTCGTTGTTTGGATTGGCTGCCCCATCTTCGGACCCACATGAATCGTCCACACTTTCTACTTATGGGCGATTTTAACTGTCCTCGAATACGATGGCCTGATGTGCATTTGATGCCTGGACATAGTGAGGTTGAAGCAAAGTTCGTGGATTTGGTACTTGAAACTGGTGCATCCCAACACATATGCCAGCCAACACGCATATCAACACGTTCAACCTCGTCCTGTCTCGACCTGATGTTAACGAGCTACGAACAACGAGTGCGTGACGTTAGGATTCTGGAGCCCCTGGCTACGAGCGACCACTCAGTACTGATAGCTGATATGGAATTATCTTTGCCGTATTCACATCCGCTGCAACCAGCTCCCAACTACTGGAAAACCGACTTCGATGGTCTAGCTCGAGCCGCGAGCCAACTGGATTGGTCTCTGTCACAAACTGCATCTGTGGAAGATTGTTGGATATTTATAAAAGAGAGATTGACATCATTGTGTTCCAAATTTGTGCCATTGAAATGTCGAAAGGTTGGACCGATTAAGCCTCATTGGTTTGATAAGGAGTATGGAAACCTGGCTCGGAGGCGGCGCAGACTGTGGGACAAATTCCTTCTCTCTGGCTCTGCCAATGATTACGAAGGGTATAAATGTCAGCGGAATCTCTGCAACAGTGCAAAAAAGAATAAACGCCGACACTTTGAAGAGCAGCTCGCATTAGCCGCGAAGACCGCCCCAAAGAGAATCTTTGCACACGTGAAGCGACGCCTGAAGCCGGCGGGTGATGTGCCAGTGCTGGATGGCACGGATGGACAGCCCCTAACCTCCAGCACTGAGCGTGCGTCCGCGTTGGCGGCGCACTTCGCTTCTGTATTTGCGAATAACCAGGTGTCTGTTCCGAGTTCGACGTTTATCGCTTTTACCGAACTCGATAGTCTGCATTGCGGCGTCGAAGAGGTAGCTCAACTACTCGCCAACCTTGACGGCACCAAACCTGCCGGGCCTGATGGGCTTCACCCACTGGTACTCAAGCCACTTTCAACCATCCTCTCTCTTATCGTGACTGACCTTTTCAACAGGTCGCTCTCCGAAGGTTTGTTGCCGGTTGACTGGAAATGTGCGGTGGTGAAGCCTATTCCGAAAGGCGGCGACTCTAGCAAAGTAGACAATTACAGGCCAATTTGTATGACACCTATATTGGCAAAGGTTGCTGAGAAAATCGTGAAGAAGAGATTTCTGCAGTTGCTACAGTCAAACGAGGTCCTGACGCCCGCACAGCACGGTTTTATGCAAGGTCGCTCATGCATTACTAACCTGCTTGTGACGAGGCATGAGTGGTTGAAGGCAATAAACAAGGGGAAGTCCGTCGACGTGATATTCATCGATTTCAGTAAAGCGTTCGACAAGGTCATTCATGAGGTTCTCCTTCACAAACTCAGCATGTGTGGCGTCGGTGGCTCACTGCACCGGTGGATCCGCGACTTTCTTGTTGGACGAAAGTGGAGGGTACAGGTCGACGACCATCTAACTGACTGGTACCAATCTACAAGCGGCGTGCCTCAAGGCACTGTGCTGGGGCCCACTTTGTTCCTGATCCACATCAACGATCTACCGCAGCGTCTCCGGTCGCCGTGTGCCTTGTTTGCGGACGACATGAAGATTTGGAGAGAAATCGACGCCCCCGACGACTGTGGCCTACTTCAGCAAGATCTCAACCGCTTATCCACATGGTCTGCAGAAGTTCTTCTCCCGGTCAACCCAGCCAAGTCGGTATTTATGAGCCTGAGGAAGGGTGCAGACGGCCGAACCTACACCCTTGACGGCCAAACGCTATATCCCACACCTTCCGTGAAGGACCTAGGTGTACTCTCACGCTACGATTTGAAGTCCGTGGACAACACGAACAGGCTATATCGGAACGGACTGCGCATGCTTTGAGCGCTCAAACGTAGCTTCTGCACATGGTCTGAAGAGGTTGCCACTCGCCTGTTCTCTTCTATCATTAGACCAATGCTAGAGTACGGTTCGC